GGGGGCGGTGGCTGACAGAACGCTGACGTCACTGCCGCGCGCCAAAACCCGCCGGCGGGGGTGGGGTGGCGGCGGAACAGTCACGTGACGTGCGCGACTGGGAGGTCGGGGAAGCGGGCGGCAGGTGCAGCGGGCGACGGAGAGGGAGGACCGCTCTGTCCCCCTTCCGGACGCCTCGCTGAGACAGCTGACAGCCGGAAGGGACTTTGGAGCGTCTTCTCCAGCTGTATTCGTCCGGCCGGCCGTCTGCGTGCGTGGTGCTGAGAGCACGCCGGGCGTTGGGACACAGTGTTCCTAAACCTCGCGCTCTCGGACTTCTGAGATCTGGGAGGGCTGTGACCATCTGGCTCAAGCCTGCATTTCACAGATAGAGCATCTGAGACTTAGAGGGAATTGTTCTGGCCACTTCCCCAAGTCAGAGCTAGGGAGTGGGAGAGCTCGGAGTGTTGGTCATTGAAGTTCAGTGACTCACTGCTGCTTGTGTTGGGGTGTCTCTCAGGTGACTTAATGCTGGAGGCTAAGATCATGTCTATGTGGTGTTCCACTTTGATACCTTACAAAGTGCTCAGTAAAGGTGTTCATAAATATGCGATGAATAAATGTTGGCTAATATGAGATTAATATCCAGGTTCTATTCGTTTGGTGTCTGCATAAGATGAACAGTTTGCTGCGGATGTAGTGGGAAAATTACCTAGTGGATAAGGAAACTACGTTTTTAAACTGAAACAAGTTTGACCATATCATGAGCAGAAGCAAGGATGCTGAAATCACGTTGTTTTGACTGATACTGGTACTTCACAAGTGGCATTGTTATTAACTAAAGTTGTAAGACTACTTTGACACACTTCAAGTATTGACACTGCACCTCAGTACAAATTTGAAAGAGCAGCAGAACTGTCCATAGTAGTACCTGTGTTGGTATAGAGTCAGCAGCTAGCTTTAGGTAGCGCCTCCTAAGATTTTATCCTAGATACTTTAGTTGACTCGATTTTTTTTTTTTTTTTTTTTTTTTTTTTTTTTTTTTTTTTTTAAGCAAGGTCTCCCTGTAGCCCCAGCTGTCTTGGAACTCACTATAGACGAGGCCGGCCTTGAACTCACAGGGATCTGCCTGCCTCTGCCTCCCAAGTGCTGGGACTACAGGCATGTGTCACCACACCCGGCTTTGATTTTTTTTTTTTTTTTGTATTAACCTCTTTGTATGTTTTAGTCCTTGTAAGAAAATTCATTAACATATTGTTAGGCAGTATAAAGGCACACATGGACAAATACTTGTGGAAGATTTTGTGTTTGTGATTGTTTTCTTAATTTTTAACTCGGTCTAATTTTGGATTATCCAAGAAGAGTGATGGAATAAACAAGCGAAATCTGTAGGTATGCCCTTTTTTTTTTGTTGTTTAAAACAGACTTATCTTTACAGAAATCTGTATAAGTTGTTCACACAATGCAGAAGTTGAGTTTTATTTCTGTAGCATTCACCTTTCAGATGTAAAATATACCAGATGTTATGTGGAAGTGAAATGAGTGTTATTTTTGTTCGTTCCCTTCTCACAGAACTGTTGTAACTTTAAGAAATCATTCATTTAGAATTGTCACTTAAGAGTGCTGGGATCTACCCTGGTTTGAAGGAGTGCCACCTCTTTACCTTCTTCCTTTCTCTAAAGTACATGGTGACTCCACAGGCATTTTGTGTGAATGATGCTTGACTGGGTTTTCTGGGAGGATGGTGATGAGTCTGAAATGTAGCCAGTGCTGGAAGAGCTCCCTCCACCCCTTCAGTATGCTCTTGGAGTCGCTAGCAGCTGTGGGTGATAGCAACATTTGTGTTCATTTATTGTCTGTTGCCATGGCTCCCAGGAGAGGCGTTAACCTCTTGATTCCAGCTCACCGTGTCAGTTTTCTCTTGCTCTTTTGTTTGTACCCAACATTGTCTCCCTTGCCTGGGTGAGAACATCTGCCATCTGTCACCATGTTTTGGCCCCTCATCCCAAGATCACTTAGCACTACTGATATATAGTGGATATTAATGGTATCTTCTAGGTGGTAGACTTCTGAGAGGAAAGAGACCAGTGTGACATCCCTCTGTTACAGGAGGTTCAGTCCTCCCAGCCTGTGCTCCTGTGCTCCCTTCAGACCGCTGTGATGCTGTACCTCTACTGCTAGGCTTGAGGGGTCTGACTTCTCTGGTACCATGCATCCCTTACTGCCTGCCACTATCCACCCTATAGTCTTCAAAATCTAAGTATCTAGACTGCACATAGGTTTTTGATCACCTCCATGTAAAACCTGTTGTGTGTGCATAGTAGCCATCATTTATTGTTTGTCATGAAGTAAAACACTTTGTGTAATAATTAGGAGCAAGCTACCAGGTTCTGTGTTGAGCATTCTGAATTTTTTAATTCTTCTAATCCTGTTTATCTGAAGAGGAATGAACAAAAGAATCTCCGAGATTAAGGTTGTATAATAGGCACCAGAATTTATGGGAACCAGCTGAACTCTTGCTTTTAATTCTTATACCATATCGTTCCTAGATATATCACATATAAGTTGACTTATAGGATTTAATTTTTAAAATGTTAAGCTGATGTAAGCAGTCATAACTTTATGTAAGCCTATTTGTATCTCCGTTGTGCTTTATATAAGAATATAAAATTTGGTAGATAATTGGAATTAAGATAATTGTGAAGACAGATCCAGGTGGGCAGCAGAGTCAGAAAGCAGATATGACATCACAGGAAGTTTGGATCTAGACCTGAATGTAAGAAGGATGTATGATTAATTACACTTTGTCCTCAGGGCACACATACTTCTTTTCCTTCTAGGTTGTATGCCTTTTATTTGAACTTGTATAAAACTGTCTAGAACTTTTTAGGTCTTTTGTCCTCACATGACTAAACACTTTCAGAATTAATCATCTGCTTCCTAGAGATTGGGAAATTCTGTATGCAGTTTTTGGCGACGTAATCATTTCATTTAGAATTTCATGCTGGCAGTGCTTTCTTTTTGAATTGACACCAGTCTTGACAAAGTTTGTCCTTTAGGCTACAGATGGAATTGGTGGCTGAGGAGTTTACACTGTAATGTCAAAACTAGCCTAGAAGCATGGTTTTCTTATTGTTCTACTCGAGTAATATTATTATTATATTTTTAGTTTTTATTTTATTTATTTTTGAGACAGGGTCTCCCTGTAGCCACAGCTGGCCTGGATTTGATATGGAGACCAGGCTGGCCTTGAACTCACTGAGATCCACCTGCTTCTGCCTCCCAGGTGCTGCGCCACCATGCCTGGGTCAAGTAAAATTACTTTAATATGTATGATTGAGGTGGGTCAGTGGGCAAAGTACTTCCTGCATAAGCATGAGGACCTGAACTTGGGTCCCCTGTGCCCACAGGAAGCCAGGCACAGAGTGGCTATACTCCCAGTGCTGATTGGAAGGAGGCTGGGAGGCAGGCAGATCCCAAGGGCTCACTGGCCAACCAGCCTAGCAGAAATGGTTCAGGCTCAGTGAGACCCTGTCTTAAAAAATAAGATGGAGAACCATAAAGAGAGACACCTTGATATCAACCTCTGGCTCGCTCCTACATGTATACACAGGCAAGCACACATTCACATACAGGTATACAACACAGAAAAAAATGTATATGGCAAATAGATGCTCCTCATTTATTTGAGACATTAGATGATTGTTTCCTGTGTCTTATTTTCTTAACTAGAGAGAATAAATTTAGTGAACCCTTCTGTACCTGGGGGTATGTTGTACGTAGATCCTTTACAATAGACATGTTTTTTTTTTTTTTTTTT